TTTTCAAAGTGACTTTATTGAAATATTCTGATTTCAAGCTCAGATCTGATATTTATTTTACTTGATGGAACCAAACATTACAGATGAGTCGTTCAAGAACCACTGAAAAGTTGACCCTGGTTTCATTTCAAGACAACACGACTCTTGTGGGGGTTCAGAAGGCAATGCTAGTTTAAGGATGTGTGTGAGTGTTTCCTCACCTTCTCTCCCAGAGCATCTTGGTACATCTCAGCGTTGGCGAAGTAGAGCGTGGCAGAGGACCGGAAGATCACGATCCCTGGAATGTGCCTCACCTAAAATCAGTCATTGAGTTCATACAATGAGAAGGCAAATTAGTCAGCGCGTGTCCTCGTACCAAGAGACGCACATGAAGCTACAATGTCAAAACTACCTGAGTCACATTACAGCAAACAAAATGTCATCCATCTAGTAGTCGTTGAGCGACTTTCAGACCTTCAATTTATTCCTAAAGCCACAAAACTGAAGGTTTAAAAGCACCGTATATATAAATGTACATCCCACTCATTTGATAAACATCGACTGGTTTTGTTCAACTTTTCTGTGTGAACTATAAAAAGCAAAAATGTTCCGAAACCAATTTCCCTGAGCCACACAACAACAGTCTTTTTTTAATTACAGACATCACAGGCATGCATTGTGTTCAGTAACTCCTTATTTAAAAGCACTGGTTCTCCTCGGTGTGATATTCACAACAGAACAAATACTGACAGTAACTCTTTTCAACTCTTTACTCTTTTGAAATCATTTTTTTTCCCTCTTCTGAAAATGACACTTGAATATGAATAATTCCAGTTTCCTGTTTTTAGAAGCTTAAATCGTTCAGGCTGGAAACATGAAGACGGTGCTTAGGGGACTGTACTTTTAATTTGTCGCAAAAATTCGATTTTTAATTATTCCGTTCGTCTCTGCGGCAGCGGTTGTCATTTAAATACACCGTGCTGTACCTGATCGTAGTCCTCCACTGGCTTGTAGATGTCGGTGTTTGGGATCTGCCCCAACAGGGAGTATTTAGGTCTGAAACACAAAACAAAGAACTGTACAATTTGTCACTCTTTGTGTGTCAGTGTCATCTGAAGGATTGAGCTAATTGTTGGGTGTGGTTATTGCTCTCTCAAGGTTCACTGAAGGTGTGATTGTTAATCCTCCATCGTGCTGCAGGAACAGGTGCAAACTCGCATGCAGCTCGTGCTTCTATATAATGCAACAGAAACGTGCAGACAAACAGTGGCCCACGCACGCACACCAGAAAACACGCTACCGACCTCCTGATGGCAGGAAGAAGAGCTCCTTTGTTTGCTGCGTTTGGCTGAGCAACATGAGAAAGACGAGAAATGGAGATGGTGTGCAACAATAGGAGCACAGGCATATCTCAGTTCATGAAAATAATGGTCTGCACGGCTACACGTTCTGTGCTTGGTGCGGATGTATAGAATCAGTTTGTATTGGCTTTAAGTGTATGATTGTGTGTTTGTGCAGCCCCCCAGTGCTGTGTTCTTACAGCTGCGTCCTGAAGATAACGGTGAGCATGGAGAAGCCGATGGCAGCAGCCAGACCCAGGTCAGGGTTGAGCAGCACAGTGAGGATGAAGGTGACCACCCAGACCAGCTGGACAGAGAAGAGATGATGAGAAACAAGGAGTAAAATAACACAACAGCGATCCTTTAATATAATAATTATTACAGAACGTGTGGAGGAAAATATAAAGTTGGACTTGGTTGGTGCAGACACAGTTTAAGTAAATCTGTCAGCTTCAGTTTTAGGAATGTTCTACTCTGTTCTGTTTCAAGATGTTTACCCGTTCACGTCTTACCAAACTACACTGTGAAAAAAAGATGATATTCCAGCAGCAGAGACAGTAAAAAAAAAAATAGTGTAAACTAATGTGTCATGATTACAATACATTTTCTATAGCCTTCATTTTACATAAAGTAATATATGTTCTTTTTTTTCTTTGATATGTAATAAAGGATATTTACATGTGTAAAAACAACTAAATTAACTGTTGTTATTATCATCAATACAACCAATATTAACAATAACATCAAAAAATCCTTGTTTTTATTGATTGGATGGTACTGTTAAATTCTACACATCGGATTGAGGAGTCAAGTCTATCTAAAAAAAAATAAAGGTGGACATATCAAAATATTGTAAAATCCAAAAATTGGAATCTCAGTAATGAAAGATAAACTAACTTTTATTGCATTTAGTTCCTACTGTGGTGCCTGTTTTTTTCAATATAGTGAATCTAAACTGGTGGTTTTTTCATTTTACAGCACAAGTACAACTGTTACTGTTCAACTTAGAATTAATACAATTACTACAAAAGTACACACATTAAACTACATTAAACTACTACACATTAAAGTGAAGCTGTACTCATTGTGGCTGTGTGCTGCCCACTCACCATGTCCACTCTGTTGCTCTTCCACAGAGCTGGGACGTCCAGGAACTGCTTCATGATGCCGTGCAGGTTGACAAAGATGATTGCAGCGAGCACAGCCTGCAGAATGAACGAGATGTGAAACACTTTTATATGGAACGCTGCAGAGGATCATGAGCAACATCATCGGCTGTTCACTTTCTCCTTTGGAGGACTTATTCAGCTCTCGCTGCCTCAGTAGAGCAGCAAACACTCTGAACCCTATTCAGGACTTTTGGGGTCTTTTGGATCCTAGGCCATTTGGTTTAGGTGACAGATATTTTATTTTTTAAGATTTTTTTAAATATAAAAAAGGGATCTATGTCATGCATTTGGAACCAAAAATACGTCAACTTATCAGAAAATGTGTTTAACATAGTATAACAGTCTGTAATGAATACCAACAAGTATTTTGCACATATTCTTTCTTGGGGTCCAATGGAGCCCGAAAGACCTTCTACGTATGGCAACATGAAAGTCCTGAATAGAGTTAAGGACCAATCCCATCCTGGACACCATCTGTTTGGTGCCTCAGGTCCATCAAATCACAGAAAAGCAGCTTCTACCCCAGAACCATGAGAGAACTGAACTCTTCCAAACACCAACAGGTGAGTCGAGTTCTCCTCCAGAAACTGTAAACCTGTTGAACTGAGTCAGAGCAGGATCACCTGAAGACACAGGAGCGTGTATTGATACTTGATCGGGCATTATGCTGTCTGCTAATCCGTATCATATCTGCAATCTTTGGTTCTGACTCCAGACCAGATCCCGAACCTCTTCATCCCATCCAGCAGTCCGCTCAGTTTTACGTCTCCTCTGCGGACCGGACCGGACCAAACCAGGCTGCTGCTGTCCGACCACGAGGACCTGCCCTGAACCTGAGTGCCTAACAGCAACTTCTGCACCTTGTATTTATTTCTAACGCACTAAAAGGCTTGTTGATTAGTTTTGATAATAAAAGGACTTTTATTCTATTCAGTTGTGTTCCGGTTTGGATTCCTGAGACATGAAAGTCCATTTGTATAAATGAACTCCTCATAACAGATTATCATCCAGTTGAGGTTTAAATTTTAAGTCCAAAATGAACTACAATGTACACAGAGTTAAACTGTCTGTTTGTTTTTTAGTTGTCTGTGCTTCCATCTTCAGTAAAGTGTAGCTTAATTGTTATTTTACAGAATAACCTGATGACAATCCATGTGCTCTGTTTGTAAAAGTAGCTGATAGCTTTGACCTAAAGGCAGGAAAAGTGTCTGTTGGTGGATAAACAGCAGCCTCAGCTCTTGTGGAAGCCATACGAGTGTCTAAACTCATTCATAGCGACTTGGACACTTGCTCATGATGGTGCACAGATGTGTGTACCTTGGGCAGATCCTCAAAGAGCCTTCCGATCCAGAGCGTGATGAAAAGGATGACTATCGCTGACAGAGCCCCGGCAACCTGCAGCGAGCAGAGAGAGACGCGTGATGAATGGAAATCATGATGGAGAGAGAGACCGGAGGAAGAGAGGTGAAGAAAAAGAGACGAGCGCTGTAGCGGTTATTAGTGTGAATTGGTGCGTGATTATGAGAGGATTCAATGAGTTAAAGCCTCTGCGAAGGGCCTCGGCTGATTAATGGTGTTGTCAGACTGGGTCGGTTTAGCCTTTCAGCAAATCTGTATTTGTGTAGGTGGAGCTCCATGAAGTGAGCACAAAAATCAATCCTCTAAGTGTTTTTTAATGATGCTGCTTATCAGAGTAACGTTAATTATAGTGGGCTTTTCACTGCGTTTAACCTTTAAGGCTGCCCGGGTCTGGAGCTGCAGGCAGAGTTAAATAACGATGTGAGAAATGATCTGATGAAATGCCCTGAAAAATGGCAAAGAATTAAAAGCTTGTTCCCCTAAAATGTAAACAAAGACAGGAGAAGCAGGAAAACCATGTAAACCAAATAAAGAAAAGATTTAGGCAACAGGAAGTTTACCAATAAATGAACATGACTAATGACAGATGAGGTCATTTTATATTCATGTTAAATGTGTTGGTTAGAACTCTGTGTTTATTGTATTTTT